TTGACATAGAAGACAAGTGGTAAAGGAAAAGAGGAGAAAAGAAAAATAGAACTCTCTAGATACAGAACTTGCTTCCTATATCTATGATTGTTCACCAATAAATCACAATATTAATTAAGACTCTACAGTGCCAGGTCCAAGGAGCCCTGGTGCTGCAATGGTTAAAGTACTCAACAGCTAACAAAAAGGTCAGTAGTTTGAACCTACCAGCCACTCCACAGTATAAAGATGTGGCAATCTGCTTTCGTAAAGGTTTATAATCTTGGAAACCCTTTAGGGCAATTCGACTTTGTCATACAGGGTCACTGAATCAGAATTGACATAATGGTAGTGGATTGAGTGGGTGGGTGCCAGGTCTTCTTTAGTAGCTAGGATCAAAAGAGGAAAAACAAGCATGCTCAAACTCTCAGGAACTCACACTCATAGGAAAGGAGATGACACTTGCATGTAAAAATTACTAATATCAGCCTCCATACTTTATTACCAAGGATCAGATGGAAGGACAAAGCAATGAGTAGTGCACAGTTTTAAAGCAGAGACATTTCAGATTAATGGGCCCTGATCTGTCAGGGCAGGGTCCAGATTATGGAAAGAACAGATTTTTTGAATATGGAAAGAAGTGGGGTTAGAGAGGTATAAATGAAGAGGATAGGTCTATACACCTTTATTGATACCAGAAAGCAGAGGTGTTAACTGGATCACAAAGTTATTGAGTTGTATAACTCTTATCCAAGATATTTCATGTAGACTTCTTCAAATAAAAGGACAGATTTTGCCATCTGCCTAGCCAATCAAATAGAACCTGTGGCTGAAGACAGAAGCCATCAATGTTATTCCCTGGTTAATTGTCAGTGCAGAGAAAATCTTGACAAAATAAGAAATTAACTTTGTCCCAATACTGGTTCCAGAGAGTATGAGCTCATTGGATCTAGAGAGAAAGCCTTTTGCTCTTTGTTTTGTCTTCATATCTCCATTCCATAGGAAGATAAGTTCTTAAGAAACAAGTTCCCTAGAAGCAAAATAAGCCTCTTCTTCTTCCTTGTTCCTAGTCCAGTGACATTTTCCTGTTCTTTTTGAGTCACTCAGCAACATAACAGTATCTGCTTCACTAGCATCTTATTTCTTCATTGCTCTTCTACCTCAAAACTCCCCTCTACATACACCATCATATGGGGATACACACAACACAAATATATGTAGATATTCACACATTTAAAAATATATAGTGTCTAAGGCATTTGACTGCTAACCAGAAGGCTGCCAGTTCAAATCCACCAGCTGCTCCTCGGAAGGAAGATTGGACAATCTACTTCCGTGGTGATACCTCCTCGGAAACCGAAGAAAGGGTTGCTATGAGTTGACTCTGACTTGTCGGCAGTGAATTTGTTTTTTGTTTTCATATATGTGCTTCTTTAAATGTATCATGAGGATACAGTTCGCTAATTTAATTATTTCTCATTTCTATTCCTTTATGAATCACATGGAAATATGATAAAATACAAACAATTTATTTATTTAAAAATAAGAATATCACAAAGTTCAACTTATCTCATAAGACTGGCTTCTCTGATAGTGTGACTTTGGTGCAAAAAAAATGGACTTTGGAGTTAGTAGATCTGGTTTTGAATCTTGAATCTGTATCCAACTATTTTACTTTGGCTATGCTATTTAACCTCAGTATATCTGTTTAATTTCTTTAATACAGAAGGAAAAAATATACCTCTACATTTTGCTGGGATTATATAAAATGAAGCATAGGGTGGCTAGCAAAATGTATGTCATATCACAAGCATGTTAATTCATCTCTTTTCGCTTAGCCTACCCTCTCATTTATTTATTTATGCATCATTGAGACAGTTAGCAGCCTCTCTGGCTGGCTGGTCCAGGCTCAATCTATATTTCTATCTTGCATTCTTAATCCATCTCTATATCATCTGTCACTTATTGACCTATCCATCAATATTTTAGAGTTGCAGTCAAGTTAGCTCTGACTTAAGGCAACCTCAAATGTGTCAGAGTAAAACTATGCTCCATAAAGTTTTCAGTGGTTGAATTTTGGGATGTAGTTTGCCAGATGATTCTTGCAAGATGCTGTTGGATGGACTTGAACTGTGTTCCCAGAGAGCAAATATTTTAGTGGAAGAAAGAAAGGTAGTCAAGCAATTACAATAAAACATAAGGGTTATATAAAGCATATATAAAGTGTTTGGGGATAATACTCAATGGACTGAGTAATTTTGTGTTGCAGAAGGAATTATGGATGGTTATTACATAAAAGACATTCACTCTTAATATCTTCCTTTAGCAGGCTGAGAAGAATGAAATAGAAATAGCAACATTTTTGTTTTCAAAGAGTTATATTTTCTTATCTGACTTTTCTTGTCTTCCTTGTAGTAATAACCTTCCATTAATATTTTGTTTTGGCTTTTTACTTCATTCAATTTTACTAGGTTGTGAGACTCTTAAATACAGAAATATTTCATTCTTTTCTGTCTGCCTGCCCTGTGCAGTAACTAACTGGCATGAAATAGTCCTTAAGAGACTGAGTGGTTGATTTGATTCAGTGTGTTTATAATTCAAAGCTTATTTGGTGTCACCTTTCCTGATTTCCTGCTTCTATTTCTCAACAAAATACTGTCCATGTGTAATGTGTATCAGAACTAATGATTGCAGCAGAAAAATAATACTCTCTTTTCTTCTCCATTGAGGTAACAAGTGATTATTTCTATCACTGTCTTCAGTAGAATGGAGGGATTAAAAATAATTCACAATCCCTCATACTAATCTTTGTTTAATGACAGGAAGGCTCTAGCATTAATATTCCTTATATTTAGCTTTTTTTTTTTTTTTTTAAATCAGTGCAGCAAGCCCAGACTACTGAAAGATGAAGATGCTTAGGCACTGTTGTGTACACATATATAATTGGGCTAGGTATATCTCTCCTTGTTGGCTCTTTGTTGGCCTAACTGGAAAAAAAAAAAAAAAAGGAAAGTTGGTACCAGTAGTCAATGACAAGTACTCAGTAGAACTGCAATGGTCATTTTAAAATGATACAAGTCTCAGCTCTGTCTCCCTTGTAACTCTTGCTCTGCTTTCTTTGCGCTTTCTATGTGCTTTCTCATTCACTGAGCTCTCTGAGATCCCAATACATGATGCCACCTCAGCCTAGCTGTAGTGACTCTCTTTATGTTTCCAGTTCCTACTTCCAGCTCATTAATTCTTTTTTCCAAAGTCATTCATCACATGTTGCTGAGTGCTTCTAATGCACAGGTCAACATGCCTGAAAATAATCTATCAATCTGGATATAATCAAGCCATAAAAGAGAGAATTGTATTAATTTACTAAAGGAATTATATATATTGGTGGAGTTCTTTACTCATAGTATGAAAAGGAAAGCAGGGAAGGAGGAATGTAGAGATTTGTCATCTTGGATCCTCTCAGTAACATAAAATGGGTGCAAGGGGCCACAGCCCAATCATAGTATAGCCAATCAAGAAAAGTGTGGCTCCACCTGGTGTAACCACTGAGACTATGGCCCCTAGCTGCCCTTCAGGTCTGGAATTGAACCCACAACTGTGTTTTCCAGCCAAACAAAGTACAGGCATGTGAGTTAAACATTTACCTCAAGTAGACACACGCCCTGGAGAGAACAATCATGGGAGAAGGAAGGGCTGCTTATGCACAGGGAGATAGCTCAGGGTGCAGAAGAGTATGAAGGGATGGACACTGGGAGGAGGTAACTATGGGGAGGAAGTGGGAGGGGAGCTGCTGCATTGTAAATTTTGGTCAATGACATGAGACAAAGTATATGTGAACTGCTGTATGAAAAGTGAATTTACTCTGTAAATCTTCACCCAAATCCTAATTAAAAAAAAAAAAAAAAAAAAAAAAAAGAAAGAAAAGTGTGGCTCCAATGTAACTTATTAATCTCTTGTTCTGATGCTGACAAAACATTAGAACAGAAGTAAAAGCTGATATGTCAGGGGTCTTATCTAGGCTTACCTTTTATGCTTAAATCAGGAGTCCTAAATCATGTATTCCATAACAATTTCTGGAATTCTTGATAAGATTCATTAGGGCAATTTGTTCATACTAAATGCCTTCAAGATCCCATGGTAGATATCCATGGGAAGAGTAGAAATAGCTACCTCAAGTGTAAGATGGAGAAAATGATAATAGGGATAAGTAGAACTGTGAAACCAACAGAAACACAAAAACAGAACACAAAATGAATCAAAGTCACATAAACATGTGGAGTGGGGAAGGAAGTACCTTACAGGAACTGGAATAGAGAAACACTGTTACTATAGGAGATGTCTAATAGAAGAATCTTAGAAGAGAGTAAAAAAAAAAAAAAAATTGCCCTCAAGTCAGATCTGACTCATAGCTACCCCTCCTTGGGTTTCCAAGGCAGTATCACTACAGAAGTAGGTTGCCCAACCTTAAGAGTGTAGTCCATAATTCAGGGACAAAGATTGCTCTGGCTACAGCCTCCCAAACTAGGTTCCAGAAACGTTATTATAGGTTTGCCACCACAAGTAACCAGTAGCTTCTGTATGCCTCTCCATTACTTCTGGAGCAAAGTATATAGTGTGGAGATGCAAGACACATCTTACATCTTACAATGGCACATCAAGTTGTAGTTGTGGTTGTTGCTTTCTTGGTGTCTGTGCATATGTGTGACAGAACTTGGTACACAGCTCCTACATCAAGTCAGGGTTAGTCTGGGCACTAGAGTGAGCATGAGCCTAGGGAGACTGATGTTTATAATTTGGATAGGGTAGAGGCAGGAAAATGGGGTTAGGATCTGACTAGAAAGTCCAAGACACCATAAAAATAAGTGATAGGCATGGTAAATGGGGGTAAATAAATAGCATAAAGAGAGCTCAGTATGTAATTGGGGAAAGTGTTCGAAACAGGGATTTGGTGTGAAAAGGATCAATTTTGTACTAGACACTATCACTATTGTCTCTCTTTTTAGGTGTGTCCTCAATCCACCATGTTAATTTTCAATAACACCACATCCTCTTCTTCAAACTTCCTCCTCACTGCTTTCCCTGGTTTGGAATGTGCTCATATCTGGATCTCTATTCCCATCTGCTGTCTCTACACCATTGCCCTCGTGGGCAATAGCATGATCCTGTTTGTCATCATTACTGAGAAGAGTCTCCACAAACCTATGTACTATTTCCTCTCCATGCTATCAGCTGTTGATCTATGTCTGACCATCACAACTCTCCCCACAGTACTTGGAGTTCTCTGGTTTCATTCCCGGGAGATAAGTTTTAAAGCCTGCATCATTCAAATGTTCTTTGTACATACGTTCTCCTTCCTGGAGTCCTCAGTGTTGGTAGCCATGGCCTTTGACCGCTTCATGGCCATCTGTAACCCACTGAAGTATGCCACTGTTTTAACAAACATGATGACCGTGGTGATTGGACTGGTCATCTGCATCCGGCAAGTAATTGTCATGTTTTTCATGTTTCTAGCCTTGAAGAATGTGTCTTTCCACGGAGGCCAAGAGCTCTCCCACCCATTTTGCTACCACCCAGATATCCTGAAATTCACATACTCTAAGCCTTGGGTAGCCAATTTTGGGGGCTTGTTTCTTCAGCTCTATCTATCCGGCACTGACTTATTTTTCATCCTTTTCTCCTATGTTCTGATCCTCCGTACTATTCTGAGCATCGTGGCTCCTAAGAAGCAACAAAAAGCCCTCAGCACTTGTGTCTGTCACATCTGTGCTGTCACCACTTTTTATGTGCCAATGATCAGCCTATCCTTGACACACCGCATCTTCATCTCCACCCCAAGAGTGGTCTGTGGCATTTTGGCTAATGTTTATCTACTCTTACCACCTGTACTGAATCCTATAATTTACAGCTTGAAGACCAAGACAATCCGCCGAGCTATGCTTGAACTCTTACAATTCAAGGGTTCATGTGGCCACAATGAGAGGGGTCTCAGGGGAAGGGTGGGTTGAAAAGGTGGGAGATCATCATAACGAATGCCTGGCATCCCCAGGCATTTTGGTTATTGAGGTGATTCTACCTAAATTGTTGGAGAAAGGAAAAAATAAATTTCCCTGAGCTTATCAAAGAATTGAAACAAATGACTATAATTCAAAACCAAGTTAATTGTGCATATGCCCATCAAATAGTTTTTGAACCAATTGCATGTGCTCCTATGCACATTGAAGTCACAATAAGATCACTTTATCCCAAGTGAAAAATTTAATTATCTGTTTAAGAAAGAAAATTCTTATCAGACGGAAGAAGAAAATTCCTCATACTTTCTGTATCTCTGCCTGTGGCAGCCAAGATTAAATAGGGGAATACAGAGATTACTAAATGGAGGAGAGGAGAGATAAAAAGAAAAAGGAAGAAAACTCTTAGACTACAAATAAAAGATAATACATATATTTTTCATCCAGATGAAAGGAATATATATTTTTAATTGTTTTTAAATTTCTCAGAAGGCAATGAAGAATATTGCTTGAGCTGGTAAAAGAAAAAGTTACATATGTTCTCAAATGCACACATATAGGAACTTGCTTTTTAACTCTAAGAAAATCTTGCATACTGGTTTCAGTTACTGAAGTCCCCTTTAGGAAGTGCTGTATCTCTAGAGATATATTCCCTGTGGACTATATTTTCATTAATCCCTTTCATCGTTAGTGAAAGTGAAACTTTTCAGTTCTAGTTGCTGTTTTATATCTCCCATGAGTCCAGTATGTAAAATTACAGATCACCTTTGATTTATTTCTTATTGACGAGATATTTTAATATAATTCTAATTGTGATTTCAGTCTCTTCTCAGTGTTTATGCTGTCTCTGAACCACATTCTTTTGCTATTTGCCCTTAGTTATTGGATTGTTAGTTTCCTACTTAGCTGTTAGCCTAGCCACCTCCACCTTCCTGTATACTTGTAGTTGCACAGTAACTTGAATGTTTTTGAGTAGACAATCTTTGGATTACCTTTATTAACAATACTTGGTTTGTTAAGAAGGAATCTCAGGTATAGGTTTTATACAGTGTTGGAGAGAATTTTTCTGCACAGTGTTATTTAATTTTGGTTTTGTTCAAGTAATGTGTCTGAGCACAGTAGATGAAACAGATCTTTTGACCGGGGCCACTTTCTTCTATATCAGCTTTCTACTGTCTGGCAGGCAGGAGCACCACGCCCAAACTTTGGGCTGTTCGCCTCAGCTTGCTTTGATCACACAAAGCTTCCTTGTGAAGGTTAAGTGCTGCCAGCTTTGTGACTCTGCTTTGCTTAAGCTTCATTCTCTTTTGTAGTCATTTACCAAAATGTTCCATTTTATTTATAGCTACTCCTTACTGATTTTGGCAATAGGTTTTTTTTATCAGTCCAGATGTTCAATGTTCAATGTGCTTGTAATTTATTATATTCTGAGATGTTAAAGGTGCTTTTCTTTGTTGTTTTTTCATAGCAGATTAGGAGATCTATCAGGGCCTACTTGTTGTTGTTGTTGTTGTTATGTGCCGTCAAGTCAGACCTGACTCATAGCGACCCCTCCTTGGGTTTCCGAGGCAGTATCACTACGGAAGTAGACTGCCCCATCTTCCTTCCGAGGAGTGACTGGTGGGTTTGAACTGCCAGCCTTCTGGTTAGCAGTCAAGTGTCTTAGCCACTATGCTACCAGAGCTTGAATTTTGTATACACTGTAAGTACTGGAGATATGACAATACATTTAATTTATGAAATTCTTTTGAAGATACAAAATACAAGTAGGAATATGGACTAATAAACTAATAAACTAGTAAACTAATAATAACAACATTATTAGAAAAATGTTGGGTCTGCAGATATTCTCCCAGTTCATAGAACAAAATTGTTAAGGGTTGACTTATTCTTAATTTTAAGATTTCTACATTTATTTGCATTAAATAATCACAAATAAAAGATGAATGAGAAATAAATGAAGTTTTACGGAAAATAATTCAATCATTCAGTCATTTTAGTTAACGATCTTTATTTTTAATGGAACTATATACACATCAATATGATTTTATATTGTGTGGTATATGGTCATATTTTCTGCTAGTTTGAAATTGTTTCTAGTTTGATTAATATAAATGAATACATCACAGTTCAAAATATCATGTGCATAAATAAGCAAGAGCCATCATTTTATGACATATATTTTTATAGCAGCTAATCAAGAATATCAGTGTTTCAATAATTACTGTATTACCATCTTTTCTACTCCTTACTGCTAATAAAACCATCACTATTCTTCTTCTAGTAGCTATGACTTCTTGGAGCCCTAAATTAACAGAGAGAAAAAACCTGGTCTGTGTTAAAAAAAAAAAACGTTACAAGATCATTTAATGTCATCATGATATAAAGCTATACTAATAAAAGAGATAATCAGTGTTTGTCGTATTTAATTGTTAAGGAAATTAAGAATTATGGAGGTCTATGCCAATGTTTATTTCTATGAACAAAGGGAAAAGATTGTTAGCTAAAGTATATTTGACAGCTTTTACTTCAATGGTGAATCAAGAAGAATTCCCACCAAACTGACTGAAGACCACTTAGCAAAAATTATCTGGAAGCCACGTGGAAGATGATCAGCAACTGGATTGGGGTAACAACTTTTAACTTCCAGATCTTTTGATATCCATTGTCTGAATGGGGATCGAATCTGTACTACAAGTGTGCTTATCCTGTGTGTACTGTTGTTAGGTGTCATCGAATTGATTTTGGCTCACAGCTCCACCACGTGACAGAGTAGAACTGCTCTATAGAGTTTTCTTGGCTGTAATCTTTATGGAAGCAGTTCAGTAGGTTTTTCTCCTCAAGAGTGCTGAATGGGTTCAAACTGCCAATCTTTCAGTTAGCAGCTGAGTTCTTAACCATTTGAGACACCAGGGCTTTTAAACAGTGTAATTAAACAGTATAAGTAAAATTCCATATCAGTGTGTTGATTCATGATTTTAAAATTTGCATAATTTGTGCAATATTTGTCCATTCCCATATCAGTCCTAAGCTTAGAGACCTCAGAACCAATATATTGTTACAGCCCGCGTGTGTATAAGGATGATTAAGATGGATAATTATCACTTATCCATACCACTTTGCATAGAAAAATATTACTTTCTCTGACCCTGGTTCACCCCACTCTATTTTCCTCACATCTTTATTTTAGGCGCCATTTCCCCAGAATCTTTTCACGAATTTGCCATGTCTTTACGCAATATACAATGGAGTTCATTAGAGGTGGTACAAGCAAGAAAATGTCAGCAGTGAGAATCATAGCCTTTAGGGATTTGTGCTTTCCAAAGCGGTGCACAGAGGCCAAAGCAATGATGGGCATGTAGAAGATGAGCACAGCACAGATATGTGAGGCACGTGTGGAGGGCCTTGAGCCATTCCTTATGAGATCCAATTCCCATCAGTGTCTTCAGGATGAACATATAGGACACAGCAATGAACACACTGTTTGACATCATACAGAGAGCAACAAAGAAACCATAGAAAAAGTTGACTGTGTTGTCAGAGCAGGCCAGCTTCATGACATCCTGATGGAGACAATAGGAGTGAGAAAGTCAGCTTTTCCTACAATATGTTAGTCTTTTGAGAGTGAAAGGAAATGGGAGCACTAAGAGTATGCTTTTAATGAGAACTACTAGTCCCATTTTGGCAACTCTGGCACTGGTCAGAATAGAGCTGTATCTCAGAGGGTTGTATATGACCAAAAAGCCGTCAAAGGACATGAGCAGAAGAACTGAGGACTCCGTATCTGTGAATCCATGGGTGAAGAACTCTTGAGCAAAGCAGGCATTAGGAGAAATTCCTGTGGTATTGAACAAGAAGATTCTCAGCATAGTTGGAAGGGAGGAGAGGGATAGGCCCAGGTCAGAGACCGCCAACACGGAAAGGAGATAGTACATGGGTGCATGGAGTGAGGGCTCTATCCTGACCACAAAGAGGATCGTGCAATTGCCCAAGATGGCCACTAGGGGATGAGGCCAATGGGATGGAAATCCAGACGTGAACATGTTCCAGCCCTGGGATTCCAATCAGGAAGAAAGTGGTGATCTCAATTTCAGAAGAATTGAGAGTATGCATGGTGAGTCAGTTGGAGAGCATCTAGTCCCAGATCCAAAATTATATTTTCAACATAAGTTTGTTCTCTCATCACTTTTTTTCCTGAGACATAGACAAAGAAACTTAAAGTTTTTTTTTTTTTTTTTAAATTTTACAAATCAAGAAGTGAAATAAAGAACTATTTTTCCTAAACAGACTATATGTAATAGTGTGAGATAATGCTGACTGACAAGGGGGGCCAGGAATATAGTTAAGTCCATAAGTTCCTTAGAAAGAATATTCACATAAATAACTGTTTTCCAAATAAGTCTACATTTAACTGTCACACTTTGCTCCCCCTATTACCAATTAATGGAACATACAGCAAGTTGTACTATGGAGTAATTCCTTTCACCTGGTCCCAAAACAGACTAGGATTTAAAAGCAAGAAAAACAAACAGACAGACAAGAACAAAAACAGGTAAAATCCAAGAAGTAGAATGTAAAGGAACAGAAAACCAGTGGTTTTTTCCAGTTTCTAAAGCAGGGATTGTGGGGCTGGCGCGGGATCGGGCAGTGTTTCGTTCTGCTGTGCATGGGGTCGCTATGAGTCGGAAACGACTCGACGGCACTTAACAACAACAACAAAAGTTATTTGTTCCAAACATTTCCAGGCCAGACATTGAGCTTCAAAGGGCAATTTTACTCACAAGCTTTCCGAGGGAGAAGCCCAAAGAAAGGACAGAAAATATACCATTTATGCTCGACTTGAAATACTCTCTTATAGTACAGTGAGAATTCCATCTTCTTGTATGGTAGCAAACAAAATGTTCTTAAACATGATCAATACATAGCAGTGCTCTCCATCCTTCAGTATGGGAAGAGGGGGCATGGACTTTCTTTAACACTAACATAGATGCTCTTAG